TTCTAATATTGTTTGGTTGTTGGACGAGTGGGAGCAAAATAGCTTTTGTAATATTCTAACTTATGATAAAGGTCAAGATTTAATAATCAACGATGTCATTGGATTTATGAGATAATTAAGAAACGGTTGATGATGTTAAGAATAATTCGTTAAAATATTGATCCTATTGATATGTCGACATAATTGATAGCACGTGTAAAGAAAGAATTGTGTGTCGGTATGGTTGGTGTCATAACTCATTTTGACCCCCAATAATTTTTATGTTGATAAAAAATTCAAAAAATAAAAAATAAAAAATTATATGTGTATAGTTTCTTGATTTTTTTTATTATGAATTTTAGGTATTTTTATATATTTTTAGGAATTAATTTCTTAGGATTATTCCTTAATTTTAATTAAAAAAAGAAACAATAGAAGAAGAAATTGAAAAGAGAAAAAGAGAGAAAAAAATCGGGCATAAATTAAAAAGCTTAAAATGTGTGAGGATCAAGAAAAAATAAAATTAAGGGTGTAATTGAAACAAGAAAAGGCTTTAGATTGAGGTAGAATCAAGAAGAAAATGATGGACCGAACAAAATTAACCTTAAACCTTAAAAATCCTATAAATACGTCTCTTTCTCCCACACAAAAAAGAAAAGTAGGGGAAAAACCTAGACAACCTGAAATTTTCAAAGGAAAAAATGAAAAAAAGTTACCACCCTTAAAAATAGCTAAATAGTCCTTTAAATTAGAATCTTGACTCGCAGCTAGTGGGTCAACTCCGCTGAACTCGTCGTCGTTTCTTCTTCAATTTTTCCCTTCTCCAATCAATATCTCCCACAATAACCACCATCATTTTATAGCTCAACCTCGGATCCACCATTCCCGACCATTTAGAACGATCGAAAAAGACCGAGGCAATTTCAATAAAGAGGCCAAAGTGGAATATCGCTAAATTTTATAAGGGTGAATATATATTTTTTCATTTTTTCTTTTGAAACTATAGCCACATGGAATTGTGGTATTGTAGATAATGATCTCACAAAATATTAGAGTTTGCATAAACATGGAGGTTGTAGGCTTCGGGTTTTTTGGTGAGACAGATTTAATTAGAGAGATAACTTGTATTATCGTTAGTATTTTTGTTTCTCAAGTTCACAAAAAAACTTGAATGATTGTATTGTTTTTTTTTTTTATTATTATTATATGGATTATTTCGAGTTGGTCTCGTGGTTTTTTTCTTTATAATAAAAAGGATTTTCCACATAGATTTGGGTTCTTGTACTTATGCTTCGTGATTGATTTATTTTATACTCTTAATTTTTATATTTTTAGTTTAATTATTGGGTTTATACTCTCGCCTATTTTTATATAATAGGCTAATTTTCTAATTTTAAAATGCCTCTAATCTATCTTTATTATTTGAGTTGATTTCTAATCTATCTTTTTAGTCACTTTTTCCAATCAAACCAACAAAAAATATCACATGACTTGCACACGGCCTTTATTTTGACAAAAATATATAACCCCTTGTAGCTTAACATGATAAGTTTCTAGTATGTTCTTAGATAATGAATTGAGCTTCCAATCCGTCCTTAATGCTAAAGAATCTATTATATTATTGTTATTAATTTTTTTCTAATAATGTGTTACAAATTTTATGTTAATTAAAAATATATAAAAATAACCAATAATGGAGGGAGATATTTATTGAGTATATATTTAAGGTCCAACCCATAAGTGGCCTTAGTATAACCCATTAAGAAATTAAATAGAAAAATGATTAATTAGGAAAACGATTGAAGTTAAATAGGAAAATGATTATTGTGAAACTATAAAGAAAATTTCTCTTTTCTTTTTGTTTTGTTTTCTTATTTAACCGACACGTGCATATAAAAGAGAGAGTTTGTCTTTTTTTTTTTTTTTTTTTTTTTTTTTTTTTTTTATGCGGTTGTCGAAGAGAGCAATTAGAGGGAAAAAGAAGAATAAGAAATCAATGGTTTTTCTGAATCTTTTGATGAATTCTAATTGAAAGAAAGCAAATATTTTTAGTACATTTAATATTAGAGTTTTTTCTAGCATTGATTTTTAGGTATTACGGTCACATGGAATTGTGGTATTGAAGGAAGTGATCTCACACAATATTAGAGTTTGCATAAACATAGAGATTTTAGATTTTAGGTTTTTTTAATGAGACAGATTTAGTTAGAGAGATAACTTATATTACTCGTCAATATTTTTATTTCTCAAGTTCACAAAAAACTGATTGTATTGTTTTTTTTTTTTTTTTTATTATTGTTATATTGATTATTTCAAAGTTGGTCCAGTGGTTTTTTATTTTTATAATAAAAGGGATTTTCCACATAGATTTAGGGTTCTAGTGCTTATGTTTTTGTGATTTGTTTATTTTTTTACTCTTAATTTTTGTATTTTTAGTTTAATTATTGGGTTAATACTCTCACCTATTTTTATATAATAGGCCAATTTTCTAATTTTAAAATACCTTTAATCTATTTTTATTATTTGAGTTGATTTCTAATTTGTCTTTTCAATAATTTTTTAGTCAAACCAAAAAAAATATCACATGACTTGCACATAATTTTTATTTTAATAAAAATACCCCTTGTAGTTTAACATGATAAGTTTCTAATATGCCCTTAGATCATGAGTTAAGCCTTGAATATGTCCTTAAGGCTAAAGAATTTATTACACTATTGTTATTAATTTTTTCTAATAATGTTTTGTAAATTTTATGTTGATTAAAAATATATAAAAATAATTAGTACCAGCAATTATGTAACTGTTCAAGAAATTATCATTTAACATATTTTTTCTAATAAAGAATCCATTATATCATAATAATTCACTTATATATATATATATATATATATATATATATATATATATATATAACAAGTTGATATAATATTTATCAATATAATAAATCATCTTTATAAAAAAAACATGTGAATCGCATGTGAAAAATAAATAATTATGTAATTAAAGAAAATATGTCATTATTTTTTTAATTACATACTTAAGAGACTAATTAAAATTTATTAAACGTAAATATTTATTTTTTTAATTACATGCTTAAGATACTAATTAACAATTACTTAAATGCAACTATTTTTTTAATTTTTTGAATAGTTACATACTAATTTGTACTAATATTTTTATATATTTTCAATTAAAAAAATTCACTAAATATTAACAATAATATTAAGGATATATTGAAAACTCAACTAATTATAGAAGACATATTGAAAACTTAATATTTTAAACTACAAGGGGCATTTTTATCAAATAAAAAATCATATGATATAAGAATAAGTGAGAGTATTATCCTTTAATTATTTTCTCACGCAATCTAATTTAAGTAAAATGAGATTAAATTCCCAACAAGCAACACCAAAAATATGAAAAGCATTATAGATTCCAGGCATACAGGAAAAGGATTTTTTTTTTTTTAATATTTACTTTTGATGGAATCACTCATTCACTCTTTAAGGATTCAGGATCTTACTTTTTGTGTTTGGTGGTGGATCAGTAATGATGCACCATGCTTTAGAATAATTATAACTTAGTAGGGTCCATATCGATATAATTAGGTGCTGAAAGTGGACTTAAACTCATATGAAAATGAAGGGCAAAGTGTTCATGTCTTATTGTCTAGCTTTTTCAACTTTCAACTCATTTTGATGACCGTTCATTTCTATTCTAAAATGAAAATTGTAAGTTGATCAACCCTCGTTCTTAAACAAACAAACTATGAAAAAGTAAAACACATTCAGCTCCCACCAACACGATTAGGAGATCAAAGTGTTGGGTAAAGGTTAATTAAAATATATAATATTAAATTTATGGATTAATTATTCAAAATCAAATTACTAATAGATTATTAAAAAAATTGATTTAGATAAAAGAAGGTTTAATCGTTTAAATAAATAGTTTTGGGTTCAAATATTTATGTATGAAAAAAACTCTTTGTACGTCCGATAAAACAACAATGAATTAGTATGATTTTTTAGATTTAAAATACTTTAAAGGATCATAAAAAATTAATGATGATTAAATATCTTTATCCTACATATAAAGATTGGTTCCATGATATAAGTCTTAGATTTTCAACTAAAAATCTCAAGTTTGAATTCAATTTTTTTCTAAGATTTCTTGTGGATGGAACCATGCCCATTAAAAAATTTAGCTCTCTTTCCTCAATTTTAAAAATTTAGCAATTTTGAAATCTACAGATTTAAAAGCGTGTTCATACTTATGACATTCATATTCATTGAAGATGATTGAAAACAATCAACTATTGGTTTAACAATAAATAAATAAACGTCTTCATCCGACGTACGGTAAGTTACCCCATAAATTTTGTGAGAAATTTTATGACAGACTAGCACTAGTTGTGCAAATTGACCCTTCAACTCTCATCCTTTCGTTTCCTTTTCTATCATCAACATTCATATGCAGGCCAGATAAGGTTAAATAAAAGGCATCATGTTACCATTTTAAATCCATCTGCCAAAATTAATTTGTGTTATTTCAGTATAATTAAAAATGGATGAAAGTAGGTTTTAGTACCACAAAGGGTAATGTAGAAATTGAATGGCCAATAAAATCTTCCTTATTTGTATGATATTTATGTGATTCATCAGAAAATATTATTTACAAATTTTAAATAAATATTGCAACAATACATTGATTTACACATCAAATCAATACCGCAATATTAAAGAAGAAGAAGAAGAAGAAGAGGTCAACGGGTAATGGGCATCCAAGTAATTTGGCAACAAAATAATTGTATGGTATGATAACGTGCCATCATTAGCAGCTCGAGAAGGCATCATCAGATGAATGAGATTGTGAGATAGCCTATATATAAATATATATCGTGACACTAAACTTAATTACACATATCATATCATAGGCTGCCAATCCCATTAAGGTTTTGATAAGGCATCCACATTCAGTGATTTAATCACTCGGTATAGTTACAGGTAGAGTGGGTGAAAATGGCAAAAATTGCCTTAGGATCTCGTCATGAGGCTGCTCAGCCTGACTGCATCAAAGCCCTTGTGGTCGAGTTCGTCACCACCTTCCTCTTTGTTTTTGCTGGTGTTGGATCTGCTATGGCTGCTGGTACTTGAACTTGAATTTATGCCCCAACCTAACTTTCATATTATTTTTTCTTAAATTATTTAACCTTGGTTTGCATTGAACAATTAATGACAGGGTTATATATATATATATATCAGAGAATGTTTAATGAAGGATTTTACGTTGTGTGCTTTTTATGAACAGATAAGCTATCAGGAGATGCACTGGTGGGCTTGTTTGCTGTGGCTGTGGCGCACGCACTTGTTGTGGCTGTGATGATATCTGCTGGCCACATTTCCGGTGGTCATCTCAACCCAGCAGTGACTCTTGGCCTTCTTTTTGGTGGTCATATCACCGTCTTCAGATCCATCCTCTACTGGATTGACCAATTGTTGGCATCAACAGCCGCCTGTCTCCTCCTCAAGTATCTCACCGGAGGATTGGTAAGCCAATTGGATAAGATCTTAGGAACAACACATAAATATTTCAAAACCTGTAAATATAATTATGTTTAGTACGAATTTAATTTACTCTACTGATATTATCTTTACAAAATTTGGAAAAGTTAAAAGCTTTGGATTAAAAAAAAAAGAGAAAAAGAGAGAGATGCCATCTAAGGAAAAACAAAACAACATTGTTGTGTTTGTTGTACAAAACAACATAATTATAGTTGTCCCCAACCTTTATGTTCTTGGCAATTTTTTTTTAATAATTAATTTTGGTTTTTTATTTGGTTTTCTGCAGGCTACTCCAGTACATACACTTACAAGTGGGATGAGCTATCTTCAAGGAATAGTATGGGAGATTGTTCTGACGTTCTCCTTGTTGTTCACAGTCTATGCCACTATTGTGGACCCCAAGAAGGGATCCATTGATGGGCTAGGCCCAATTCTGACTGGATTTGTAGTAGGAGCCAACGTCTTGGCTGGTGGGGCATTCTCTGGAGCATCAATGAACCCAGCTCGATCATTTGGGCCTGCTTTGGTCAGCTGGGACTGGACCGATCACTGGGTTTACTGGGTTGGACCCCTTATTGGTGGTGGACTTGCTGGGCTTATCTATGAGAATTTCTTCATCGTAAGATCTCATCGTCCTCTTCATAACGAAGAAGAACCTTTTTAAATTTCAAATTACCAAACGATCATGGATGTGGCTTTGTAACCTCTCTTAAGTGAACTTATTAAGTTTCTGTATGTGGCTATGTGCCCTGTGATGCTACTGCGGTACTTTCTTAAGTTTCTTTGTTTAGTTTGTCAATTTTGTGAATTAATTAATGGATAATCGTAGTACTAGAATATGATATGGCATTTATTATTAATTTTTGTTGCTTAGAAAACAATTTAAATAATTAACCTCTAATTTCTTAGGAAACTCAATATAGTCTCAAACCTATAAATCCATTCTCAATTACACCCCAAACCTTTACATTTTATCAATCAAGTCCCATTTGTCAATTTCTTTTAATAATTTAAGTCTAATTTGCATATTTGATATGCTAAAATAATCTGTATTTGAAGAAGATTTGATAGAAAATTTGATGGACATTAACATTTTTTTTAATTTAATGTGCATATTTATGCGTTAAATGATAAAAGTATCGATGGACGTTAACAAAAAGATTTAGTTAAGAATTTCTTTGAAACATTTGGAACATAATTGATTAAGTTTATAGGTTAGGACTAGAGTAAGAATTAAGTATATTTATTTTTGGTATTAAATTGAGGTTTTTCCGAATTTCTTCCTTCAAAAGTTTATTAGTGATATTTTTCTCCAATATTTGAACAAAGGAAACGAGGGTAAAAAAAATCATCTAGCAAGGTGTGGTGACTTGTTAACCATCAATCAAACTAGGCAAAAATGAGAGATGTTTCATGGCACAAAATTCATACCAACCGTTTATCAAGCGGGGTCCATTATATTTGTCCTTATAGGTTCTCCAACATTCCATCTTCTAGGTTTTTTTCAGTATTTTTTTAAATATTATACATATATAGAGATTTAAGAGGGAAAAAATAAAAATAAAAGAGAGACAAATAAGAAAAAATAAAACAAAAATAAGAAAAAAGAAGTCTTTTATTAGTTTATCTGTTGATGAAAAAGCCGAGACGCATGCCAAAAGACAATAGTGGCTACACATAAAACAGCCCCTCAACTGAATATGTGTATATAGTAAGAGAGGACTGACGGTGATAGGGAATTGATAATGCATGCATTAAAAATAGATGAATGGGCTGTCACAAACTGTACAATTTAGGTGAATTTTGATGGGCAAGTTAAAATGTTGTGCTATGAGTTCAACACTTTGCAGGCATCTATATCTAATAGGACCCCGTATAATGCGTTATCAGTTGGACTGTGGGAGCATGGGATATAAATGCAAAAACAGGAAACAAACGCACCTATAACTATATATACCAAGTCTTTACCTGTTTTGAACCCACCATGATTATGGCAGTACTAGACTTTCACCATTAATATATATAAGTGTGGAATACCTATCTTTCACTGGTCATTTATTTTCTTGCAGTTAAAAGTAACTTGTGTTTTTTCAATAATAATAATAATAAAAGAAAAGTACATAACTTATGGTATTGTGTTAATGAATTTGGCTTTTTTTAAGTCTTTACAAGACTTAAGTTTTTTTTTTTTTAAATAAAACCTAATATTCACTATCTAATTTAATAGTGTTTGAATAAAATCAATCTCAATTATCTAATTTAATAATATTATACTTGTAAAATCCACATTATATAATTCAAATTCAACGGCTAGGATTTTTCTTTCATACATGGATATTAAGTAGTTATTCATATATGTGGTTGAAAAGTTATTTATTTATTTTTAATTAGGGTTTTCCCACATTTGGTCTTTGTATAATTTGATTTTTTTTTATTGAGATTCTTTATAATTTTTTAACTTGATTGAAACCTTTTACTCTTATAAATTTATTGATTCAGATCCATAAGTATTGGTATCAGCAATCGTTGATGAATTTGGGTTTATTATTTCCAAGAAAACCAAAATTATTAATCAAGAAGATGCCAAGACTACTAATAGTAGTGTTGATGAAGTTTTAAACCTGCTTGGCATTCTTGTACACAAGAAAAAGAGGAGAGTGATTGGACAAAAGTTTGTCAAGAAAAACCATAATTACTATATTAGTTCTTATGAACATGATCTGAAATTAAAAATTGAAAGGCAAGAAAAGAAATAAAGTGCAGCTAGTAGAAAACAAATCTTTAAACAACAAAAGATGGATAATGAAGATGATTAGGAAGGTCGGGGGAGAGAGCATCAAAGAAAAGAAAGAAGATGAGAAGGGTAAATTTCAAGAAGCTGGGTTTGGATCCTGCATCCAATTTCTCTTCCCAAATTAAAGTATGAATAGATCATCAAAGGCTGAAAGTAAAATATTATTTTGCATTTTCTAACCCAATTAAGAACTAGTGGAATTTTAGTGATTTAAGGATTTAGCTATTGGATTTTCTTACAGAGAGAACGGGTTTGAGAATGATAAAATAGGGCTTGACAATGCAAAATAATGATATGGGCTGGTGATAATAAAATGGGGGCAATGCTGTCTTTTTAATTATTATTTTTTTACTATTAAGTATTAGTTTAATAATAAAAATATTTTTAATTCTTTTTTGTTTTTAATTTCGGATAGAGATCATGAGAGTTAGGACTCATTATACCATGCGTCTATTTGTGATTAGTTATTTTTAATTATAACATATTATGTCATATGAATAGTTGACAAGGTTATAATGAATGATTTAAATAAATAAATTTATAAAAGTAAAAGATTTTAATCAAGTTAAAAAATTATAAAAAATCTCAATTAAAAAAATTTTAAGTGTATAGAAATCAAATATGAGGTAAACTTATTTTTAATTATCTTTTGTTGATTTGAGATTAACGTTTGGAATAAACAAGCATAATCTCTTACATTTTTTTGAAAAAATGAACGAATCCCAGTCTGAGATTAACGTTAGAAGAGGGCAGCATGAACGCGCAGCTTCTCATGATTGTTGACAGATATATATATGCCATTGACATGTTGCAGAAAGAATTTTGAGTTTGCCGTGTCCGTCTGGATTTGAATTAAGCTTTCACAAGCTGGATTTATAACTTGACATACACATGACAAGATATATTTATTCAGAATATGATATATACTTCCAATTAGCTGCAGTGAAGGATACAGATTGTAAATATTGAAACATTATCATTAATTGGATCATGATCTATTGGAAATAGTCTCCTTTAAGTTTCTTCTTTACCCATGAAGGAGACAGGACTGGACTCATCTCGTATTCCATCACTTTTGACCTTGAATCACTGACTTCTCTATAATCCAAGCACCTTTTCTCTTCAGGCATAACCTTAACCCTCCATACTTTGAAAGTTTGGTCCAAGCTTGCACTGTAAACCAAAAATCCCATCACAACTTTTTCCATCTCCAAACAAGCAGCCAGACACCTCACTGGTCCTCTATGTCCATCTAATACAGCTAGACATTCATGAAAACAACTTCCTTCTTCTCTTCTCCAAACCCTAATTGTTGTATCCTCTGAGCCACTAAACAGCAACTTCTCTATAGCTACTAGGCAAAGAACTGCAAAACGGTGCCCTTGTAAGAATCCACCATGGTTAAATCTACCCGAAAATCTCTCCTTCTCCCAGAAATTTATGGTACCATCTGATGACCCTGAATAGAGAAAGCAATTGTTGAAAGATGAGCTTAAGGCCAAGGCATTTAGAGGTGATTGTTGGAATTTTAGTGTCATGGTGAGAGTATGAGAGTTTTCTCTATATACTCTCCTCCATATTTTAACCGATCCATCAATGGAGCATGTAAAAAGACAGCCATCATCTTGGTTCACCAATATAGCATTGACAATATCTTCATGAGCAACAAATGAATCTACACATTTTTTATCGGAGACCCTCCAAACTTTAACTGTTTTGTCGTATGAGCCAGTGTATAAAAGTCCTTCTGCATGATAATAAGCCATGCAAGAAACATAATCCTTGTGTTGTTGAGTGTTAGGTTTGGGAAACATAAGAAATGAGCTTCTTTTAGGTAATGTAAAGACCTTTTTGGCTCGAAAATTCTCCGAAACTGCGAAGTTCCAAATTCGGATTTTAAGGTCTTTATGTGCAGAGAAAAGAATGTTACCATAAGCTAAAATGGCTCTGATTTCACCGGACCTTGCCTTGAGATAACCTCTTTCCATGCAATCCGGTTGCTTCCATGCACGAATACGGTTGCTTTCAGAGCCAGTGAAAACTATTCCTTTTGAGACAGCTATAGAGTAAATGTTGCCTTCATGTCGATGAAGAGAGGCTATGCAATGGTAGAGAAGTGACGGTGATGGGGTACGAATAGGAGAGAGTGTCCATGGTGATTCTGGGCTAGATGGCGGTAATAGGGTAAGCATGCTGGAATGAGTGGTAGAAGGCCTTGGAGGGCTAAATTGAAGCTCTTGGTCGTTCATTTCTTGGTAGGCTATGTTAGTGGAAGGGTGAACAGGTGAGTGTGGTGCATTTTCTTCAGCTATGAAGCTAAAGAGAGATTTCCTGCCATAGAAATCCATGGCAAAGAGTGTTTCTAACAGTATTGTCTGACTTGCAGGTATGGGAGTTCTAGCTAAAGTTATAAGGGGATTGAGCTTGTGTATTTATGAACATAGTGAAGTGGGCTGGACAATAAATTTTGTTCAATATATGGTGTGGAACCATTTAAAGACAATTATAAGCAGTTAGAGAACTGACGTGCATGTATAAATTAAGTTCTAAATTAACAATGTGGTGGACAGGACACCAATTCGATAACCAGTTTCCGTTGTAATTTTAAAGCTGCAAACATGTTTGCTTGTATCAAGTTACACAAGTTAAACTTTATATATATATATATTTTTAATTTTTTATATCGTGTCCATGTCATAAGTATTGTGATATTTTCTATATTAGATACTGTAATTTTTATTATATTATACAAAACTTTACTTATGAATACAATATGATATTACTATTTAGGATTATATAATTATAAAGATTTCTTTCAGATTTTTTTTATCATTATTATTATTTATCTTAATTTGGTATCAGAGTTTCATAGAAATCAATCAATCCTGCTCAATAAACACCACTACAATTTTAACACTTGATAGAAGAAATATCATAAAAGCACCAAACAACCAACAATTTGTCATAATTGTTATTGCTCAGGCAGTTTCAGACCTGGCAACCACTGTTTTGGCAACCTCCTCTTTGATAGTTTTGTAGCAATTGAGAGCCTCTTTTGATAGCTTTAGATGGAATCACTTTCCTTGTTTGCTCATACTATTCTTCTTGCCAATACCTGTTATTATATCTCAATGAAATTAATTGCAGCGAATTATTTTTGTCGCTATCTAACGTCGGACGGGACTCCTAAAAAATATCTAATATTAGATTAGTATTTACAAGTTTATTTACGAGTTTGGAGTCGTCACCTAATATTAAAGGAGCTAGGAACCTAAAATAGATACCTGGTTCGGAGATTCTACAACGAGGAGTTGGTTACATTTTTTGGGAAGATATTTAATCACCCAAAAATGTCATTTTCTAAAAAAGATACCATGTGTGATTTAATTCTAAATTCATCTCCTAAAATATCAAATTATTTTCTGATTTCTTAACTCTTATTTTTTTTTTAAACCGAATTGAGTTTTTAATTTTTGAGCTCGACATCGTATTGAAACGATCGTCGGTCCCTTCATCGAGCGACACGTCGGTTCAAACATCGGATCCACTATAAGCCTTGACACAACCGGTGTGTCGAAGGACATCCTAATTAAAAGGTGATTTTTGATGACATCGATCCCTATTAGATAGGAGACTTCGTCGAAAAAGTTTGATGTTTTATTTTTATTTTTTGTTGATAGAGAATCGTCATCGGTCCCTAAAAATTAGGAGACTCAACGATTACCTATCTCTTAATTATCTAAACTAATTACGAAGAAAAAAAAGAATTCTAAAATTTTAATTAACTAGAATCAATTAAAATAAATTTTGAGAAATTAAATATAGTGAAATATAATTATAAACATGAATATACACAAATAAAAATATTCAAACTGAATTTACTTAAAATAAAATGAATAAATGAAAAATTTTGGGCTTTATTGTCAACGGGTCGGACTTTTTGTCAGGTGGCCACTTTTATATGCCATGCTTGCTATTGATTGAGCATGGATTGAAACTGATAGCATGCTTGTTTTCATTTTTAACTCCTTTGTGATGTGATTGGTGTACAAAATATATTTATATTAAAAGTACTCTCAACCTTTTCTAGCATTGGCTTGTCATCTATTCCATGGAGAGTAGTTCGTGAGTGGGAGCTACGACAGACCCATTTTTCATTGGCTTATCCCTGCCTTTGACTCCGACTTTTTAGGTGATCACTGCTGCAGTAGGCGTGAGGAGCTGGTACTGGGTCTGCCGTTTGGGATTGTTAGGAATGAAATTTTTAGAGATATGGAGGGTCCCTTGTCAGTCTTTAAGGGAGAGCTAGACTCGCTTTGGGTGGTGTAGGAATCTTTAGGAGAGGGAGGCGGCTTTTTTTTTTTTTTTTTTGAGAGAGGGGCGGCTTCCTGCTAAGAAAAATCCCCTCTTTTTCAGTGTGTATATATATATATATATATATATATATATATATATATTTGGCTCTCTTGCTGCTTTTTAGTTTTTTTTTTTTTTTTGTCTCTCATATGCAAATTGAAATCCAAAAGCTTTTTATAAACCGAAACCTCTTAAAATATCTCCCAAAATCAATTCAAATTCAAATTTTAATTGTCAAATCTTAATTTTGAGATTTGATTAGCTAAAAATAAGGAGATTCCAATTCAAAAAAGATTTGTGAAAGATTTCAACAGATTTTTGAATGATTTTAAGGAGATTATATATATATATTAAGGGAACCCAAATTTGGGTTATGACAATTTTTATTTGAAACTCAAGATGAATTAAACCTTTTATCTAGGGTTAAGGATTATTCGACTTTATTGATGGATCTAGATCATGTCCACCATCTCATCAAATCCGTAAACACGTCTCTAATGAGCATCCTAATTGTCTCATTATCTCTCAAAATATTTTATTTAATGGTTGATTGTACCTCCTCTCATAGTATTTAGTTTACTCTAGTGCACGTATTGGTGTCTACCTCCAATAATAGAGAATTACGCAACTTTATATGTTACTTTAAGAACTCAAACATAATGATAATTGTATGTTTGTTATTTGCAAAAAGCAAAACAAATTTAATGATGAATTAGCGGCAGCTAGAACATTGTCCGTTTCAAACTTCAATCTCTATGTCTTTAAGGGATTACATGGTGAACTAAAAAAATATTGTGATCACTTTATCATGCAAAGCTGAACTTGTCTCCTTCGTAGAATTGAGCAACCTCTTGTCGAGTCATGAGTTCCTTAACCAAGATATTTTTTATTCGCTAATTTCATAGGCTAGTTAAGACACTTCTTCTATCCTCTCCGTTAATTTGTCTACCATTACCCTATGACAATAATAGCTCTTCGGAGTAGTACTATAACAAAAAACAACAACCCTCCTCTTTTGTGGTAATGGGGGTTAAAACCGCTAATGTTAGAGAAATAAAGTAGGTGGTTCCAACTCTTGCGCGATAGGCCAATTCACATCAAGTACTTGTTTTAGAATTAGTCTCAATGGTCCAATCCTCTAATTGGCCGAAACACTCGTTGCCAACTATAAAATAGATGTAATCACACTACTTAATCATTACCACAATGCTACCAATAACCTCTCCAACCGAGGATTCATATAGTCTTGCACACCAATTCAACCCCCCGACTCGGTGGTTTTCGAACACTAGTGCCACTCATCATGTCACTCATATCCTTATAGTGGTCCTCATCAATTACAAGTAGGATACGGTAAGTGACTTTATATATATAATAGTGCCTCGACCACTTCACACGTACTTAAAGGCATACTTAAAATATCTTGCATCCTTCATACGCCACATATTAAAAACCATTACTCTGTAAAATAATATATTTTTTTAATATTACTCATTTTGTGTTAAGGATCTTATTTCAAAGGAAATTCTTCTATCCGGATCGAGTAAGAACAATCTCTTATCATATCTAAATTGTCGACCATGTTTGTTTCTTAACTCTTTCTCACAACTCATTCTCTCGGATCTTTCTCAATGTTCAACTTTTAGTTTTAATTTTGAGTGTCCGTCCGTTTGTTAGGCAAGTCCTTTAGATTATCTTAGGTACTTATAGGTTATAGATCTAATGCTCATTCATGGCTCTTCTTTAATAATGTATGTGGCATGTCCTCAATGCTTTCATACAATGAATTTTGTTATTTTTATTGATGATTTATCCAAATTTATTTGGTTTTATCCCATTTCAATAAGTCAAATGTCTTTAAAATTTTTCTCTAGTTTTGGAAGTTTGCTAAAAGATAATTATACACTAAAGTTAAAATGGTTCAAACTGATTAGAACAGTGAATATCAAAATTTACATGCATATTTTACTAACATAGGTATTCACCATTGCATCATCCGTTTTCATACCCATGAACAAAATGACTTTTATTGAGTGTAGGTATCGTCATATTATTAAGATTAGTTTAACTTTACTTAGTCATTTCAAAGTTCCTCATAAATTTTTACTTTTTGGTTTAATGATGCAAGATGTCTCTCTACTATTTTATTTGTTTTAATCTTATCTCTTTATTAATTTTTCAATAATTCTATTCCTCTACTTTTATTTGCATCTTATTTTATCCCTTCCTCTCAATTTTTAAGCGACGACAATAATTTTTAGCAACAGATTCACATGATTCGACACATGGCATTAATGTTTTTTCCTTTTTAATTTTGAATGTAAGTAAATAAAGCAATGGCATGGAAAAAAGAAAACCCCAAATTTCCTCCATCTTAAAAATCTCGTAAATCCCAAATTCGAGTTCCTTTTATTTTTCCTTTCCTAAATGTAACCCTAAATTTCTTTCTCCTTCTCCCTTCAATTATTTCTTTGTGACAATATGGGGTTCAATGTAAAGAATGTTGCTGCGAACGATCCGAAGCATGGTTTTGTTTCCTCGAACTCCAACGATAACCCTACTAAGGAGGTCGTTAACTTCAACTCTCAAGTTATCATCATGAACCATCTTAGGTTGATTGGAAATGGTCACACCCTTGTTCTTGATTGCCACGGTTATCATATTATCGTAAAGTTTGTTAAGCTCACCATATGGTCGATAGATGATCCGGTAAGAAGCTTAAGCAAGAGCTATAATTCTTGAAGAATAGTGATGCTAGTTTTGTGAAGATGATTCCCACGAAGCCCATGATGATTGAGACTTTCTTAACGTATCCTCTACTTGGTTGACTTGTTGTGAGGGATATGTGCCGATCGTTGCTCGTTGGAGTTATCAAGAGTGTTGAGAAGAAGGACCACTTTTGTGCTACTAAATCTACGAGTAGAAAAGGATGGTAAGTGAACTATGCTAGTAGATGCAACTAGAAGCTATAATAAAAATCAAGAATGGATTC